TGTTTCATAGCAGACTGACAGCAAGATATGTGTGGCTTTCAACATCCTCTCATTAGCCTCAGAAAATCTTTATATATATATTTGTCGAGCACAGTTTGCAGGTCCCGTGTGACTCATGCAACTAAACACCAACCTGTTTGCAGTTTAAAAACTGGGCGGAAACAAACAATGCTTGCTTTTTTTTTCCATTCAGAAGGCCGGAAGAATGTGACTTACTGTAAATGAAGCTAAAGGGCAGAAGTTGTCAGACGATGTGTTTGTAGTCAGAACATGTGTCAGGCCCACTGGCCATTCATAAGTCATCACCGTTTATTTGTTAGGGCGGTCCATGCAGGGCAGCTGGCCACAGGATACAACACAGACATGATCTGGAGGCCAAATGCTCAAACAAATACCTTTTTTTTTTTTTTTTTATATCATCATGAAGGTCCTACTGGCATAAAACCTGGATGTTTTTAGCTATAACTTTATAAATTATTATTTTATATTTATAATATATTATTTTATTAATTAAAACGTAACAGTATTTTAAATTTTCTTTGTAATTAACATTAAAGAGTTAGTGTTTATATTGTGTGTGTGTGTGTGTGTGTGTGTGTGTGTGTGTGTGCACGCACATTAATTGTGACTTAATATTGTATAATGGCATAAGTATGACCTAGGTATTAAAACATTAGGGTGGTTAATGAGGATGTCTTATGTTATTGTAATTCTAAATGTTTAGTGGCATCTTATGCACAGCACTTCACCGATGTTTACCGAGTGCAAACTCACAATACGCTGATGAATCGACTGATCTTTGCGTCTTTAAAACGCTCCAGTGTTCGTGGATCTGTGTTTGGACTGAGTGAAGTGCGGTGAGATGACCTTTCACGACCAATCACAATCATTTCTGTTGAGCACTGATGAAAACTATGGCAAATCAGCGATGTTTATAAACGCGGCGATTAAATGTTAGAGGGAAATTATTGATTTTAAAACTTCAGTACCGGGTGTCACGATTACCAGCGATCGTACTTCATA